TCGTAAGATTGAGCATTTTTAAATAATTTGATTTGTATAATTTTTATATAACAAAAATAGCGGTTTAATTTACAACAGAATATGAATAAAAAAATATATAAATTTACTTATGTAAACAATTTTAAAAGGATAAAATGAATGATTCGGGCTAAGAATTTTTAAACTTTAAATAATTGGACCGAATTGTTGTGATAACAATTTTGTTTAAGATTATAAAAAGGGAATATATATTTTTTTATTTCCTTGTTGATTTCGAAATCTTTTTGAAAAAATTCAAAGCCGCTTGCCTAAAGGAGCCGGATGATGTAGCTACGATGGGGACAAAGTGGCCCATCAGGTATGAATATTTTTGGCATTTTAATGACTGCCCTAAGAAGAGGATATTGCAAGTAAAATCCTCAGACCAAGGGTTTGCCTGATATAAAAAGGACTTTTACTTCTATGCAGTATGTGGGTTCAAGAATGAGCAGGAAATTTGACTTATTGAGTGTAGCAATTAATGTGTTTATTTTGTTGTGTTGATTAATTTTTTATATGAATTTACAATGAAGTGCCTGACGTCTAATCAAAACAGTCAGCAACCTGATTACTTTTATTACAAGTGTATTGGTTTAAAATGGTATGCCCAGGCGCAAACTGATTGCATAACGAAAAGATTCATCATCTATTAGTTGATTATTTAAGATACTGGGGTAGGAATCAAGTCATTCATGACCGGAGATATTGAAATTAATCTTCCTGAGCAGGGATTTGTATTGGTGATCATCGTTCAAGCTGAGGTAAGCGAAAGAACGAAATACCGATCCTAGATCCCAGTCTTTTTGCTTTAATTATTTTGGTTGAAATGTATTTGGTAAAGCATTGATGTTCCAGCAATTTAAGACTTCGTCCATCAAACTATCATTTTCAATTGAAATGATTTGGGAAATTATGTATTTTACGGATTTTGTAGAAGACATAAGAAAAAAGGAAATAGTTATCGCAGATCTCATAAGCCTCCCGATTTTCAAATAAAAGTTGTCTGAACCTAGGAGTTAGATTCCAATTTTATATTTAGCAACTCTTGCATCATTCTTAAAATGTTTTGTTCATGTTCTTTTAAAAGAGTTTCAAACGCGAAAACATCTTACGTTTTCGAACAAGATTATTTGTGAAATTAAAAGGCATTTTTGAGGATAAAATAAGCTTGATGGATGGGTAATTTATTTAAAATTGGTAGTTTGAGAAATAATGATTGTAGATTATTATTTAAAAATTTGAAAACTCCTTCTGTGCATCCTAACAGGGCTCCTAATATTGGAATCTCGCAAGAGTGTTTGTCGAAAATTATCTAAATAAGGATTAGTAGGGGGGGATGGTGGATAAATTTCACATTTTTTGATATTTATGGATAAATTGAATTAATTAAAATATTTATTAATTATATAAAAACATTGCTGAATTGATAAAATGGTTCCCGAAATCGTCCAAAATACAGGTACCAAACGTGCAGATTAAGTTTGCATGAAAGAATGATATCACTAATAATATGTTTACGAGTGTAATAAAAAGGCAAGGGTTCTAATGGATCTCCCTGTTAACCTAATTTAATATTGAAATCGTTAGCAACTACGTTAGAAAGGGATACCGTAGCTGAGAGGGATATAATTGTGATAAACGGGGAAAGTTTTTAAGAAGGTATTGATCACATTATTTTTATTTATTGAATTAAAAGTATTGGATATGTCAAGTTTTACAATAAATTCCTCTGGTTAAGGTTGGACAAAACTAATTGAATGCAGTGAATTGCAGCTTCGCAGCCTCCTTTCACTCCGAGCCCAACTTGGTACGGGGTTAAACTTGAAGCTATGGTTGATTTGAGGCGATTACAAATAATTTTTGAAGTAGCTCGGCGGTAGAAAATTCCAATAGCTATTAGACATACTTGGTTTTCAGATTTTTTAAGTCCAATTAATCGAGCACCAAAGATTACTGGGGAGAGATTATGTGGCAATTTTCCTGATAATTAAAATAAAAAAATTTGTTAATGAATTGAGTAAGAAATCAGAAAGGTCTAAATCTAAAAGGTTGGTAACAAATGATGGATGGAAGTAATCACGGCCTGAAATTCAATCTCTTGGAAAAGATTTGACAGCTGTTAAGACTTGTACTTAAGATATATTTAAACTTTTATTTATTATGAGCAGTTGTGTGGGGGGGGGGGGGGGGGTATTTGGGGTCTAGGTATTTTTCTAAAACTTGGTTTCTCGTGATTACGTTGTCATTTGTCAAAGAATTTTCATTTGCAAGATCCTCGAAAGCTCCTTTGAGATTGAAATTATTGATCTTTTTATATATTAGTTTGGAGGGATTACTTGTTAATTTATTTGTAGGATCGATGATGTGTGGTATTATCAAAATTAATGTCAAAATTTTCAATTCTTTCCTTAATGGTCTGGTAAAGTTGGGTTGAATTACCCATTGAGAGTTTTAATAATACTAAAATTAGAAAAACAACTTTTCCCAATTTCGATCTTCAGGATTAGTGTTGTTAATAAGCCCGATTCGGGTCGATTTTTCAAAACGGCCCGATTAAGATTTTAACCAAAATAATATTATGCAAGCATCGAGATTTAGCAAATAGATATCTAAGCATTTCTGCCAGCTATAAATGAATTATATGGTGTTATTTTTAATATTTGCATTTTGTAATTTATAAATTTTTCTATTCTTCTAAAAAAATAAAAATCTTTACATGGATTTTAAATGTATGTCATTTTATATTATAATATCATATTATGTTGTAAATTAAATTGCCATTTTTGTTATATTTACATAAATGCCATATCTTGCGGAAATTTTATTGTTACTTTGTTTTTTTATTATATATTAAAAATTGTTTTTATATAATTAAAAATATGAATTTTTAAATTATATCTTTTGGGAAAATGTTATATCTTGCAATTTATATTCGATTAAATTCATAAATATATGAAATATTTAACGTTAAAATTATTATAAACATAGACTTATTAAAATAAAGGTTTCTATTTTGTAAATGGCTATTATTAGACGTTTTTTTAAGTATTCTGCTAATGTTGTTCAGGCTGTCAAAATTGCAATATTTTGTTCAGTGCAAATTAATAAAATTACCATTTTGCGTGAGCAACCATTTAAAAAACCTCAAACAGGTCAATAATTTTTTTACTTTTCATTTTGTAATATTATATAAAATGTAAAAAAATAACTTATTTATATCAAAATGATATTTTTATAAAAATATATAAAATGGCATACGATAATATAATTTTCAAAAACAAATCCTATTTTGAAACGTAGTTGAAATTGAATCGTCGATATTATGCAACTTCAATTTAAACAAGGGATGCGTTACGTTTTTGATTATTAACACATTACGACAAAACGCAGCGCTCAATTTGTGCGCACTATATTACCCCCCCCCCCTCCAAAAAAAAAACAATTTAAAAATCAAGAAATTCAATTACTCTTTCTATTGGTTCCCTCGTTCTTAAATTTGCTATGAACCAATAAAAAGGCAGGATTTTATATAATAACCTATTAGCTAATTGTTTAAATTTTAAAATGATAAAACAATTATCATTTAAAAAATTTTTAAAAAAAAAATCCCCCTTTTGTTTTTGTAAATATTTGAAAAATAAATCCGTAATTAGCATTTTTTTTAGGCTAGGAACTATTTTTCCTATTAACCCTGCATTCACAGTTAGCAAGCACGAATTTGCTGCGAATTGTATAAAATTGAATATAGAATTATAATATTTATATCATATTTTATATACATAGCCGCGAATTCGCTCTAGCTAAGAATGCATGGTAATCCGGTCATAAGGCTGGGAAAAAAAAGGTTTGGGAGAGAAGCGTTCAAGAAAAATTTTTTAATGAAAATCTGCCACAATCGAATAATTTTTCCTGGCAACCCTGTTCGTGAAAGAAGATTGGCTATTTGAAAAGAAAATGTTGATTTTTTTTATGACATTGGCAAAGATAGATGGTAATTGGTAAATATAAAATAACATGAATCAGATCAGTTTTATAATAATATCGAATCGGATCGGAAAAAATTTATGGATCGCGCACATCACTAGATATAATTCTGATATATATTTTTCGTTTTTTATGCCTAAAATTATGCACATGATTTTCATCCAAAAATTATATTTATATTTTGTGAAAAAATTATTTTTTATTTTTAATACAAGTTTTTTTAACCCTTCTTGATTCATTAATTAAATTATAAGAAATATTTTCATAATTTAAATAATATATCGTATATAGAAACTGTAATGTTCACTACCAATATATAAAGAGACCTTCAGAGGTGCCATTAGCACGGCCTGGCCCGGATTTTTTTAAAAACAATTTCTGGCCAGGCCCAGCCCTGGTTTTATATTTTTAGGCCTGACCTGGATTTTTTTGATTTTTTTTTAAATATGTTATATTTATTTTTAATTTTTATAGCTAATAATGGCGATTTAAAATATACGGTCTAGCCCGGGTTTTTTTAAAAAGTAATTTTTAGACCCAGCCCTAGTATATTTAAAAAAATTAAAATACACTGGGCCGGACTGGTAGGTCTCAGATATATATAAGATATAGTCAGAGTTGGGCAGTATACTAAATACTTTTATCTTATATTTTTTTGCATGCTTATATCAATTTCTTAAATACTTTCTTCTAAATGAGTATCTGTATCTTTAACTATTTAGTATGCAAAAGATACAGATACTTGAAATTTTACATTATTTTTTGTATATTTAGAAGGTTTATTTAATTTAAAAGGTTAAATGTTGAATTTAGATCTGAAGTTAAACTATTTAACATTTTTTTTTAAATTTCATATGTTATGGTAATTGATAATCAGATTATTTTCCGGAAATGACGTCATAATTGGGCGTTTTAATTTGAATTATATTTTATCGGTAAATTTTATCTAATGATATATCCACAGATCTTTTATAAACATTTTTTTTTAAAAAAAAAAGGTTCTTTGGATATCACTCTTCTCCCTAACCCTTCCCATCTCGAAGCTATTAACCCTGTCGCATGTGGTTTTGTTAAAGCTCATCAAATCCATCATTCGATTCGGGAAAAATATAGTGACGTCGATGTTTACAAGGGTATTCATAATTATTTGGCGCGAACCAATTCTCTGTTATTGCAAATACACGGGGATGCGGCTTTCGCGGGGCAAGGCGTGATTTACGAGACATTTAATTTAGCTAACCTCGAACATTACGATATAGGAGGGTCCGTGCATCTCGTAGTGAACAATCAGTTGGGATTTACCGCCGAACATTTTCAAACACGATCGAGCCCTTACCCTACCGATATAGCTAAGATTAACGGGTTTTATAAATTGAAAAAAAAGATATATCCACAAGACACTAATGTTAGGTATAGGTTTTATACTGAGTTTCGATATCTGTGCATCTCTGCTTTATATTCCTTAGAAAAAGATTGAAAAAAAATATTGTGTAGACTTATACCTTTACTGGGATATTTAATAGAAGTTATGGAGGAAGATGTATCTCTTCATCTTATAATTTATAACAAAAACAATTATTTTTTTTGCATAAATTCACTACCAAACCGATACTGATCATTTAAAAAAAATTGATCCTTGAATAATTACAGATATCCAATAATACATGTAAATGGCGACTATCCCGAATTAGCGGCTATCGCGGCTCAAGTAGCACTGGCTTACAGGCAAAAATATCAAAAAGACGTTCTAGTTAATTTAGTTTGTTACCGCAAGTTTGTTTTCCATCTATTTTTCCTTCGGGTTATCCTTCTTCCCATCTTTTTAAATATATTTATATAGTCACTTTATTCATTTTTTATAATATATTTTTATAGTATATTCTAATTTTTCAGTCGTCATCTTTTAAAAATATTTGTGACTTATATTTTATCATAATCGGAAAATAATAAATGAAGTTTATCATCAAAGAAGGAAAAGAAATAAACGCGAACCTTAATAATTTAGTTAGTATGCCTTATCCCCAAGCCTTTTTAAAATTAATAACAGTAAAATTTTGATAAAAATAAAAGATCTTGATAGAGAGAAAGATAAATTCTCAATTGGTGTTTTTAATCTCCCCCTCCCCCTAGAAAATGATAAATAATGTAAAATATTAATTATAAGATACGGGCATAACGAAATAGATGATCCAACTTTTACCAATCCTCACATCTACCGTATGATACAGGCCAAAAAATCGGTTCCAGACATGTACACACAAAATCTGGTTAATATTCTATCCAATAACCACAGCGAAACTTATAAGGAATACTGTAAAAAAAATGTTAAAATATATTATATTATTATTTAAATTTTCCTTGTGGACAATTATAAACTATTTATTTTTAAAGAAATTGCCGTTTATCAGCAATAATATTAAAGGAAATTATTGGCAAAAAATATTCATACTATATTTTTGAATGAAATTCACTTCTTAACAATCTAATTTAATTTTAAATTAGTCTCCGTTTATAAATCTTATCTTAATTTACAAATCTTCCCCGAATGCATACTTTTATACTATGTATCCTCATAATGAAGACATTTTAGAATCCCCCCCCCTATTGAAGGGTAGTTATTAAATTATAATGGTACATATGTTTTAACCAATAAGGAGGGAATTTTTTCTTTATTCTAGAGGTAAATAAACCTTTTATAAAATTTTAAACTTTACAAGTATTTAGATTATACTTCTCAATTTTATCGGGGGCAACGAATCCTTATTATTTCTCTGCAAACCCATTATACTGATTTAAAAAAGGTAATCATGGAAAGACTATTTATTGTTTACTTTCCTTGGGGAGTTTTATTAAGATTTTATACATTTAACCATTATTTTAAGGCTGTGAACCGTAACTGAAGCAATTTTTTCTTTTTATGATCTTTTAACCCTACACTATGACTTATATGGCGGCTCTAGTTTCGGTTTTTTTATAATGACTTTTATATAACATTATGCTATTAAAAGCTACTCTAGAGTATTGGGACAAATATAAGGAGGATTCTCAAAAAAAACTTAACGATGCTTTAACAGCAGCCCGCGATTATGTTAATTCGTCTACCAAGGAAAATTTTGATCAAGGTAGGTTTGGTTGATAAAAAAATTTTATGATTATAATTTTCGATTAATATAAGTTTTTTATCCATCATTTATATATTTTTTTTGTTGCCATTTAAATTTTATTAATCAATTTTAAAAATAGGAAAGTTTTATGATTACAACCTTTTATCTCTCCCATCGAATGGCGGGCTTACTGATCGACAAATGGTAATCGATTCGATTCAATAAATTATATCACGTTTTTTTATTATGATTAATTGGCATTTTAATGGCACAGCTTTAAATACTGACACAAATTATAATGAATAATTCAAAGATTCTCGACCCAATTTATTTTTTATAATTTTCAAATTATTGAAAGTGATAATATTATACAATGGCATAGGAAAGGGTAGACTTGGGTTGAACCCCCTTCCCCCATGGAAGATATAATTATGTATAATTTTGTGCTTTCAAAATATTTTTATATTGAATTTCGTATGATTGTAATAATAAATTGAAAAAAAAACTAAATTCATTAGACAGAATTTATTAAACTTTTTATTATTTCACCAAATTATGTTTGCCTTGTTCATAAATTTTTTTTATTAGATTATAACTTGGTTTTTTTGATCCCTGATTAAGAAATTAATAATTAATAGTCAGATACTAAAAATGATCGCAAACCATCCAGTTATTTAGTTCTTCTATATTTTCCATTCTGGCACGAAGCCAATTTTAGTCATTTTCTGAATTTCTATTTTTTTTTAAATGCTGTGTCTTCCAAACGGGTCAAAATAATACATAAGTACGCTTTAAACATTCATAAAATTTCCAGAATAAATTCTTTCAATACCTTTTTAATCGTAAAGTTGGCTAAAATTTTGGTACTAGTAATTTTTTCCTACTGGCTAGTACTATTCTGGAGCACTCATAGGCGCTAATATAACACTAATTGATTTGAAATTAATTTCTCCAATTTTGCTAATTTCACTGATATAGCGATAAAAAAATATACATATTTTTAAAAAAAATAACCAAAAGAAAATAAAAATAATTTAAACATAAATGACTAGTCAGAATTTCCAGAGGCTGGATCCCACTAAGGGCAGAACAAATAGGGGTTTAGGGCCAAGCCCTACCCATAATCGTAACGCCCCTTAGATGTTGATATAACATCAAACATGGGATAGCTTTATTCTTTTTTATATTATTACAAGACGAGATTATTTAAATAATACCAATTTTTTTAAAATTACCTATTATTAATTTTTTTTAAATCACTTATTATGCTCGCTTTTATATTTAAACTTAAAATCAGACACCATCGATATCAAAAACAGATGTTTCTCAATACTTTCCGTTTCATAATTCCGTATGGTATACCGGTTTACCCATTAGCGCGTTAGCATATATCGCCAATAAATCGGTCGATATACGCGCTCATAATGACACATACTATAAACATTTTAAGCTGCATCCTCACCTCGAAAAAGTGCATGTTTTGCCGCGGATAAACTTATTTAGCAAAAGCGTCGATGAGATAGTTGTCGATTGGGGTACCTCGGAAACGATAGCACTCGGCTCGTTATTGCTGCAAGGAATTCATGTTTATAAATAATTTTATACATATATATTTTTGTTATAAATATGTAATATTATTGAGATTATATTAAATGGTGGTACATTAGAAGAAAGGTGTATTAGAAGAGAGGTAAATTAGAAAAAAGATAAATTTAGATTAGCTACTATTATAATTATTTAGTGTTAGTAAATATAATAAGATTTTTTTAACCTTATTTTGATTTCTTGATTTTAAAATAAAAATAGATTAGGTTTTCGGGACAAGACTCGGGTAGGGGAACATTTAGTCATAGGCATTTCGAATTCACGGACTACAACACGTTGAACTATCCTATTATAAATGAAGAAGGTTATTAAAAAATATGCACATCAATTTTTTTTTAATTATTGGTAAATTTAAACTTAAATAGAGCTATGATGCATATATATACTATTAGGTTGACGATTAATTTATTAAATGCATTTAGAAATGTCCAATGTGGTTTGTATATCGATTAAAGGACTTTAATGTGCATTCATATAATGATAAAGACAATTAGTCGAAGTGCAAACCAAAAAATGTCGCTACAGACTCCTATATATAGAAACTTTAAATTAATGTATCGCCAATTTAATAGGATAGATACATCATTGGTTTGAAGATCTTTAAATGGAGTGGAGGTATTCATTTATTCTACCTGTTTATTTTTTTTCAATGTATGCTAATAATATTTTATTGTTAGTTTCAACGAATGATCCACTCAAGCTTTATCAATGTCCCGCAAAAATAATTCCCTTGAATCATATGGTACCTAGACAGAAGGCTTTTCTGCAGATAATTAATAGCCCTCTTCACGAGTTAGGAGCCCTCTCATTCGAACTGGGATACTCTTGGTACAACCCTCATAATTTAGCTCATAAAGGTTTATATCCACTTATCTATTTAGTTTCTATAAATCTATAAAACTTGTATTGTTAATCGAATTAATCCTTGAAAATTTTAATATCTTATAAAAATAGCGATGCCTGTTCTATTAATTTTTAACCAATTTAAAAAAATAATATACAACTTCCATTTCGGATATAAAATAACAATTTTATAGAAAGTTCCCGCACGCTTCCTAACCCACCTTCCACCACCATGGTTATTTGGGAAGCTCAATTCGGTGATTTCTTTAACGGAGCCCAGACGTTGATCGATACATTCATTAGCTCATGTTACGAGAAATGGGGTTTAAGCACTGGTTTAGTACTTTTGTTGCCTCACGGCATGGATGGAACCGGCCCGGAACATTCATCCTGCAGGGTTGAACGATTCTTACAGCTTTCTAACGACCCTCAATCTATGAAAAATTTGGGATATAAACAAATTATACAGGATAAGAAAGAAAGAGAGGTTGGTAAAATGAAATAAAAAAATATTTGTATATATTCAGAAAAATTGAATAATGGAAGAATGTGTTTTTCAATTTTTAAATTTAATAACTAACTTTGAAGAGTTTAGGAATGTTTCAATTTTTTTATATTTATATCGTTCAATTTATAAGATTGAATTTTTCTTACCGATAAAATGCTAAATTGATGCTTCTAGTCCAGTTATGATTTTAATTATATGTTTTATATGGCTGGTTAGTAGTTAGTTTCTTATCACTATAAGGTTATGGTAATTTGTAGTCTAATTTATGAAAAATATTATATTATTCATAACTATTTTTTATATTTAAAAAAAAGCCAGAAAAATACATCAACTTTACTGTCGTAAATCCTACAACTACCGCGCAATACTTTCATTTGCTAAGGGCTCATGCTTGTTCTTTAAATGATGGTAAACTAACCGCGCCATTAATCGTTGTAGCCCCTAAATTACTAATAAGGTAAATTTTAATAGTAGATTTGAAAAGAGAAGAAAAAAAACAATAAATATATATTAATTAAATATAAGGTAAAAATATATACGTTCAGATTTTAATAGAATTTTAATTATCAAAATATTAGGTTTAATTAATTTTGCTTGATTTTGAGATTTATAAAAATATGTAGTTAGAGGTCTTAATTTTTTTTAATAAATCGTCAGGATCATATTTGCATTTGCTTGATAATTTATAAGAGAATATATATGTCGATTTTAGTGTGGTAAATTAAAAGGGGGGGGGGGGGGGTAGGTCAAATGAAAATTTTCTCTATTCTTGTAAAAATATATATGATGAATTCCATGAAAAATCAACATGAGTTCCAACCCAAACCCCCTTAATAATTTCAACAAGAGATAACGGATCAGCTCGGTCCATCATTTGAAATTTTTTTTTTCTGCAAAATTTTGGCCCCGACCTTAAAATTCTTCGCCCAGCTCAGTATATAAAAAATTTTTGTATTTATTTAAGATTTTTTAAAAAAGATACCAAATTCTTGCTAGTGAAAGTTACGGTCAGGTCTTTGGCCCAGCCCAAGCCAAAACTTAAAGATGGGTTTGAAACAAAGACCGACCAAAAACGGTCTTTTTTTTATATTTTAAAGTTAAATTTCTGTATGCTTCTCGCTATAATTTTATATTCATTATAAAATACATTATTGATGATTTATTTGGATGAGTATATCTCGTTTTTATCTAAGAGTCATACACATGAGGAGAATCCCTTTATTAGAAAGCCTGTTTATTTTTTGTTGTGACAGGATCCTCCTAGAAAATATTTGTTCGCAGGGTATATATTGCTTTTATGATTATTAATATAGTGTTTTCTTGACAATCTTCCAGGTTTCATGAAGAAAATGAGTGAGTGAGATCTCTGGTAATTTTAAAAAAATAATTATGTGCTAAACGTTATTGCAATAAAATAAATATTTATTTTAAAAATCAGCCCTCTATCGCTTCCGAAACGGTCTTAGACCATTAAGATCTGGCAGTTGACCTTCATTGTTCCCAGCCAGCTTATAATCATTATTAAAACAAATTCCCCACCCCCTCTGAAAAAGTTATGGCACTGGTTTTCCAGCCCAAATTTTTTCTTTTAGCCAAGCACCATACTGAGTCGTGCAGATCTCTGATTTCAATCTATATATTGCCTTTCATAGACTCCTCATTTTATAACAATTTATTATTGTCATATTTTTTTCATATTTAGATTCGAGGCTGCGAAATCACGTATCGCTGAATTCACTGGAGACACTCATTTCTTACCCGTTTTAGACGATCCACGTCCATTTCAACGCATCACTAGATTAGTATTCTGCAGTGGCAAACATTATTACTCGCTCTTAAATCATGCTCCCAATTTGAAGAAGATGAATTCTAATACAGAATCAAATTACCTTGCCCCGGACACCGTTAAAATTGTAAGGATAGAACTTTTGTCCCCTTTTCCAGCTTATCATATTCAAACCATTCTATCTAAACATTCCCGCGATCATATAGCAGATTTAGTATGGGCCCAGGAAGAACACAAGAATCAGGGCCCTTGGAATCATATTCAAACGAGATTTTTAAATTATTTTGGTATTCGGCTTAAATATGCCGGAAGAAGTGAGTCATCAGTCCCGGCAACTGGAATATCCAGTTTATTTAAAAGTCAAGAAACCGATATTTTAAAAGCAGCTTTTTATAAAGATTTGCCTTTTTAATAATTTATAATTATTTAATTAATTTTATTTATTTTTTAAAATATTTATTTATAGCATTAAAATTATTTTGATGATACTTGGACACATTTTCGAAAAGTGTTGAATATGCAAATACATTAATATATATTTTTATTTTTGAAATATTTTGGCTACCGAAATCTTCCAAAAAAAATAAAAATGTATCTTCATTTCAGTGAACAAGCTAGGGGAGCATCATTGAAGCAGCGGGCGCTTAGCGCTCTTTGAAGCAAAAGGCCCCATTGCTTTTCACTGTAATTTTTGTTAAAAAAATTATCAAAGAAAATTAATATTAATCTTTACACTATATTAAAAATGAATGCTATATTTTTTTAGGTTCAGGAAACAAGTTGAAAATTGTTTCTTTCAGTTTAATAAATAAAAGAAGAATAAAATTATGTTAAAAGACGATATTTTTCATTATTATTAGTATGGCGGTGCCGATATTAAAATAGCCTATTTATAAATGTTTATATCTTAGAATTGACCGCTAATTTTTTATGCTTAAACATTTTGGAAAATCGATATAACTAGTGATGCATAATCGTTCCATTTGAGCCTATTTATGAAAATGGCTAACTAAATTTTTTAGCAAGAAACGAGATTTCATGAATAGATGTCCAAACCTTTGTGTATTAGCAATTTTCAGAGTTGCATTATATTGCTCTGCATACAATATTGAGCTAGCCGTTTTTATTAAAGTCAACTCAAATAGAACGATTTAACAAAATTCTATTAAAATTTACTAAGCCTAGTAGATAAACCTGACCTTTAAATAGTTAGGTTTGGTTAAATTAAGTAAAAAGTTATATTTAATAATTATTAACTTAAAATAAGAGAATAATAAAGATTATTAATTCAGAGCTATTTTATAATTAAACAAATATCTCTAATTTAAAACCTTGGTTGTTAGGTGGTGTTTCACTTAACAAGTTTAAATCAGGTATCCAAACCGTAACAAATATCGGTTAAGGTACAATTAGTAAATAATAATAATGTCGGCCCGGTTTGAGCATTTAGAAATCGGTTCAAACCTCTTCGCGTGCCAGCCTATTTTCAAGATTCTCCTACATCAAATTATATCTATATAAAGGAGGAAGAATATATTTTATGACTAAGAACACTTTTATGTTTTATATGTTAACTTGAGTAAAATAATTACTGTTATTTATCGGTCTAAACTTATTAATCATATTTAAAAGAATTTATAAAATAGTTCAAATCGGTTCACAAGCATTTTTATAGGTTCGGGTGACAAATTTCTTAACGATTCAGTCTCGGAAAATAATAACAGCTTAATACTGGTTTAACGGCTCGGTTTGAATCGCCGGTTACAATAGTAAATATCATGTCACTATATATAAAAATTTAGTATCAAAAGTAAATAGTTACAAGTAGGGGTGGGACCAATACCAATATAATATTGGTTTACAATACCAATACCAATATAAACCAATATATATTTAAATATTGGGATTGCTTTTACAACCAATACCAATTACCTAAATATATTGGTTTTGATATATTGTTTAAATACAATTTTAACCAATACCAATATTAAAAATAACATAATTATTTGGGTTTATCGTATCGTGGTATTTTTTTTACTTTCATTGCAAAAACTGATCACATCTGTTATTTCTTCCAAATACTACTGTGATATCAATATTTCTGTTATTTATAATTATAGTTTATTTTTATTATTGAAGTAAATTTTTTACATGATATATATCAATTTTATCTATTTATTTAGGATATTATAATAAATGAAGACCAAATAGAGTTAATAAATATAGATGCTGTTGGTACTAATAATAATAGCGATAATGAACAAGAAGAATTATCAATATCTAATAAAAGACGAAATTCAGCAAAAATCTGGGAATTTTATACTACTTGTGATAATAAAAAAAAGGCAATTTGTAATAAATGTAAAAAAAAATAGCACTTCCCAATTTTGGAACCTCAGGATTATGGACACATCTTAAATCCATCCACCCAACATTATATAAGAAATGTGAGCAAATAAATATTGGCAGTAAAAAAATTAAGACAATAAAATCATTTTTACTTAATAATATAAATAATAAAGCTGATTTAAATAATTTAATTATAAACTTTTTCATTCAAAATAATTTAGCCTTTTCAATAGTTGAGGATATCACTTTTAAAAATTTAATAGCATATTGTAACCCTTCACTAACATTAGTTTCTAGAAAAACACTAAAAATAGAAATTATGAAACATTATCATAGTTCTTTCAATTTAAAATCTGTACTTTCTAACATTACATCTAAATTTTCCTTAACAATGGACATTTGATCCTATCCAAATAAAATACCCTTTATGTGCATAACAATTCATTATATTGATAATGATTTTAAATTAAATAATCATTTATTAGATTTTATTCCTTTTAAATCAGCACATAATTCTATTAATATTTTTAATTCTGTATTAAAAGTAAAATTTGAAATTGATTTTTTTTGCATTACATTAGACAATGCAAGTAATAATTTAGCATTTCTAAAAATTTTAAAACAAAAAGATAATTTTGATAATGTGTGCAAATGCTTTTGCGATATTATACATTTGGCTGTCATGGCTGCATTGGAACCCTTAAATACAACTTTAAAAAAAATAAGAAATTTTTAAAAAATTTTTAAACTTTCTATATCTAAATTTAATAAACTCGAAAAAATATATCTTGAAAAAAATCCACACTTAAAATTTCCTCACCCAATTTTGAATATACCAACACGTTGGAATTCAACATACCAAATGCTTGAAAGAGCAATATTGCTCAAACCCTATTTGACAACATATCCCAATCATTTACAAAATACCAATCAAGAAAATTATATTAGTGCCTTAGCGTGGAATAATATAGAAATATACCGAGAATTTCTGAAACCATTTAATTTTGCTACAGAGATGGCCTCATGTGCTAATACTCCAACAATTTCAACAATTATTCCTTTATATTCCAGTATTTTTGAGCATGTGGAGAGTTATAATAATAATCCTAATGCTATTTTAAAGACAGCTTCTTTAGCTGCCTTAACAAAACTTAATAAATTAATTTTAATAAACACCTCTTTATTATTTCAACAATGATTGACCCAAGATTTAAACTATCAAGTCATTTATTAAAGCATAATAATATGGAAACATTGGATATCTTACTAATGAATACAATATTTATAAAATAAATAATAACAATTCAGCGGAACTTAAAAATGAAGCACAAAATAACAAAAAATTGTTCTTTTATGACAAAATTTATCAGGTGAAACCTCATAATAATAACAACTTAGAAATAAGAAAATACGTGAAGCCACAATTTCCAATGATACAAATCCATTAGATTGGTGGAAATTAAATAAAAATAGATATCCAGTATTATCAAAAACTGCCAGAGATTATCTAGCAATTCCGGCCACCTCATCTAGCTCTGAAAGGGCTTTTTCAGAAGGATGGTATGTTATAACAGACCAACGTTGTTCACTAGATGAGCATACTATACAAGCTTGCCTGTGCCTAAAAAGTTGGATGCGCATGCAAGATTCTTCTTAAATACATAAAATTATTTCCTCTTATATTAAAATTATATCATTCTTTTGCATTATATTTTGTATAAATCAGTGGCGTAGCTAGGAATTTTCCTTAAAGGGGGTCCATACATATATAAGACTGAGGGGTTTCGCCCCCCAGACCCCCTCTAATGGGCCTTCGGCCAGGTTTATCTTAAAAATCATAACAATATCTTCGATATTATACAATAAATATAGTTAATGCATCAATAATATATTATTATAATTTAGTAGATTATCTCAATATATTATCCTTCCACGAACATCAAAAATATAAATATTCATGTTTATTTGATATAAAGTAACTTTTAAGTCTTTTGAACGTATAATCTAAAAAAAAAATTTGCTCTGGGAGGGGTCCAAATCCGAAAACCACCCCCGTAGCTACGCCACTGGTATAAATAGACAGTTATGTTACATTTTTAGTTTACTTATTTTGCTATGTTCTTTGTGATAAATAAAATGGTTCAAAATCAATACGTTTATTATTGTTGATACAAAAAATACATGATTAAATCAAAAATTTTTATATTCACATCACCTAATAAATTCCTAGTTTAAAAAAAGAATTTGAATTCAGTAAAATTTTGAGAGTTGGTTTTTAGCCCTGATTTTATGGTATCATGATTTTTTTTCCCATGTTTATTTAAAATTAGAAATTAAGGGTTTTATAATCACTATTTCTATTCTTTTAATTAGTAATTTGAATTTAAACCAATACCAATATAAACCAATAGTTACCAATATAAACCAATACCAATAGCAATACCAATACAAGAAATAGAAAATATTGTTAAACCAATACCAATATTTTAGACCCAATACCAATACAATATTTTGTTAATATTGGGTTTTTACAATTGGTTCCCAGCCCTAGTTACAAGTCATTAATATAATAATGGAAACTGATATTGTAATATTTATTCTAAAATCAATTTTTTGACTGTTCAAAAGAGTAAAATATTTCAGTAAAATATAAATATTAAGTATAATGAATAATTAAGATATTATCATAATATTCATAAAAACATCATAGAATTTTTTTTCTTATCTTTGAGAATCCAGTCAAAAAATGTATTTCAAAATACCCAATCTGGGTTTAATGTTCAACAGTTTCTAATCATCTAGAATACACTAAACATAACCCATATTCACACTAAACTAACCTTCCCCAAGAGTTAACAGCTACACTTTCTTCAAGCTAACAATTAACCTGGTCAAAAAAGTTGTACCAAGCCTATGGCTTAATTGCTACATTTCGATCCAATTTTTAAAAAAAACTTCGAAATCTACTTGGGTTTTAGAGAAACTATAATTGAGTAATTACTATATTTTTATTTGTCTACGCTCCTTTTCCTTCTAGGGCATCTATTAAAAACATACCACAACTTTAAAAGAAACTATTGTAAATTAAAACGCCTTATGTTCTGATTTTTTCCGGCAAGCACTTGTGAATCCAACTCCATTATGATATTTAACCATACCCAGCTATAAGAAAAACCACAATGATCTGTAATAGATTTTGGAAATAATAATTATATTTATATATTTTTTGGTATAAATAAATATTATAGCAGTGACGAAGAATCAGTTTACTACTAGGGAAGCAATCAGAAAATTTTTTATTTTAATTAGTCACATAAAAAAAATAATGTATATAAATAAGTGTTTTTAAGTAAAATGATCAAGTACTGAATTATAAAAGTTATTGCTAGATTTTAAAATTTTTAATAAGTTTTTTTAAATCGAAATCAAAAATATAGATTTAAAATTAAAAAAGTTTTTTTTACATAAAACTTTTTTAATATTATAAATTTTAGTCATAATATTTTTATAATATATATTTATTTAAATCAGAGACCTGCAGGCCCTGTCCTAAGCCCGGCCAGGCCCTGGCCGTATTTTAGATTTTTAAAATATACCAGGGCCGGGCCTAAAAAAATTTTTTTTTAAAAAACCCGAGCCGGGTTTGAAAATTTTTTTTAAAATATACCCGGGTCGGGCTGGGCCGTATTTTTTTAAAAAATTTATACAACATGAATTATTATATTCGTCAATTAGATATGGTTATAATGATTATATATAGTTATGATTAATATAATGTTTGGTGAAAATTAACACTAGCTAACACTCATAGTATCTATTACATAATAAAATACAGGGATTCGAACCGAACCCGAACCCGGAGAAGTGAACCCGGGTTTTTAGAAAAAAACTCTGAACCCGAACCGAACCTGAACCCCATTTATAAAATTTTCAAAACCCCGAACCGAACCCAAGAATTTTATTTGAACCCGGGTTCAAGCGGGTTCAGTGTATTATTTAAAATCATATATTAATATATGTAAATACAAATATTATATTTTCAAATTTCCAATTAAATGAAGTGTTAATAAATTTTAAACAACTTAATTCATTTATGCCATTTTTAAATTTATTCTCGATTCCTATTGGAGGTTAAAAAATTTTAAACAATTGAATTAATTTACGCCATTTATTTTTAAATTTTTATCTTATTATTCTTAAAGATTATTAATTAGAAGAAAATGGTTAACAAATCAAAGCTAAAATTATTATATTGTTAATTTAAAAAATTCTAAACATCTAACTTAAAAATTGTTAAATGTAGGGCAGTTTTTGTGAACTTATTAAAATGATTTTAAAATTTATATATGCTAATCATTTATTTTTGGTTCAGATTAATTTTTACAAGATATTAATGAAGTGCATATTATAAATGAAATTAAATTTATAAATATCTCTTTTTTAATTCTGAAATCATTGCTATTTAAAAAAATTGTTCTCTTTTTATAGATTTAAGATTAAAGATAAAGTCATATTTGATAAGCATTTTACCCTTAATACAATAGAAAAAAAATCAATATGTTCTTATTGCAAAGTAAAAATGTCTGGTAATCACTTGTCAAATTTAGAAAGACACCTGAAAAGAAATCACAACAATGAATATTTAAATTATTTAAATGAAAAAACCAAATATCAGGAATTGTTATTGGCAAAAAAACCTAAAATTAATATAGAAACCTTTTTTCCAAAAAAGCATATAAGTATAAATATATCATCTAAAGATTTGATGAGTTCTATACTAGAACTTGTTACTGTAAATGGCTTTATCAATTATTGAAGATTCGGGATTTCAAAGAATTATAAATCCACTCCTATCTGGGCTCAATTTAGTTATAAACAAAGAAAATTTATCCAGAACTATTAATAAAACAGCCCAATCAATTAGAGACAAAATATCGAGAGAGGTAGAAGGAAAATTAATAAGTTTAAAAGTTGATGCAGTTCAACGACTAGATAGGTCAATTCTTGGTGTAAATATTCAATTTATATCAAAGTCCATTATAAATTTGAGGACTCTTGGAATTGTAGAGCTGAAAGAGAGATGTACAGGAGAATATATTAAAAACTTTACTAAAATTTAAAATTAATATTGAACAAATATACACAATTACTTCTGATAAAGGTTGTAAATTTTTAAGAGCTATAAAGCTCCTGCAACCTGAAACTGATTATGATATAAGGAGTGAATCAGCAGATGAGGAAAATATGGATGTAAATGTATATAAATATGATATTGATGATATACAAAATACTTTTTTATCAACTATTATATCCTATCCGATTTATAGTGTACGGTGTGCAGCTCACACACTTCAGCTGGCACTTCAAGATGCTATAAAATTATCACCTATTGTGGAAACCATTGCAAAAGCTAGGAGCCTAAATTTAAAATTAAGACATCCCACTTACCAAAAGTTATTAAAAAATATGAAACTCCCTAAGCCTGTGTTAGATTGCCACAGATGGCACACATGATATGTTAGAAAGGCTGATTTTACTAAAACCCAATATCGAAGATTTTTTTTCAGAGCAATCTGATTATTTATTGACTGAAGATTGGAAAGAGATAATAACGATTGTTGAAATTTTAAAACCGCTAAAAATCGCAACCAAACAATTCCAATCTGAACAGTTAACACTGACAGATTTTTATGCAGCATGGTTAAGATGCTGCATCGAACTGGAAAAAAATCCAAACCATTTTGCTCAATTACTATATTCTTGTCTTAAGAACAGAGAAGAAAGGTTTATAAAGAACGAAATTCTCTTAGCTGCCATATACCTGGACCCAAGATACAAGGTTAATTAAAAGCTTAGTAAATTAATTATTTTAGATTTATATTAAAATTGTTATTTTATGGAATATTTAAATATAAACAATATAAATCCTTAAATATTACAGGTATTACTTAGTGATGATGATAAGATTTGTGCGAAAAGGCATCTTGTCAATTTATGGAGACGAATTAAAAGCTTAACAACGCCGATTTTATCTGATGATATTAGTTCCGACGAAGTTATTGAACAAGAAGATGATTTAGAGAAATTGATACAACTTAAAGAAAGGCAGGTGAAAATACTTAAAAGAGGGCCAACGATTGCTGAGAAAAGTATTGGAATAATAATTACTGGATTTAGCGATTATAAAAGATTAGACAAGAAGGAAAATATTTTGCATTTTTGGGAGTCTGCTAAGCTGGAACACCCTGAATTATATATTTTATCTAAAATCTTATTTGCTGTTCCTGCAACCCAAGTTAATTTATCATATTTTCACATATAAATACATTTAACATAGGTTAGCGTTGAAAGATCTTTTTCACATTTGAAATTCATTCATTCACCACATAGATCGAGGATGAGTGAACAACTCTTGGAAGATATTATGCTAATACGTCTAAATAAAATTTTTAAAATTGATACATGACTATATGCTTTGTATTTTTAACTATATTTGCCTATAAATAAAATAAAAAATTTATTTTTTATATCATATTTATGTCTAGTTTTTTATTATGATTTAAATATAGAATTTTTTTATCAACTCAAAAATTCTTGAACCTGAACCAAACCCGGGTTCAAAAATATTTCCCTGAACCGAACCCACCTTTTTTTTTATACCCCGAACCGAACCCGGGCAAAAATTTTGTCGGGTTCGCATCCCTGGTTTTCCTGCCATGGAATAAATACGCAAAGGATAAATACATTATTTTTGTTATATTTTTTATTAATTAAAATATCATTTTTATTTTTTTTATAAATACATAGTATATTCTCAAAATATTATTTACAATATAGTATCAATTTGTAATATACTAAATATCTGTTTGGTCTCTGATTTAAATTATATGCTCAGCTCATACATGATAAAATTTGCACTTAAATATTTTTATTTTTTAGATATAAAGCGTTAAATAAGATACCTCTGAAATAGTATATATATACTTTTTATACAACTCTGAAAGTCTTAATAAATTTTCAATATAATTACAATTAAACATTAACTATTGCTTTTAAAAAAAGATAAATTTTTTCATAAGAAATATTTTATTTTCTTCCCCAATGCTTATTTTTTAAATTCAAAATTTAGTGTTAAACGGCTCATTTTAAGCTTATTTTTTAAAACGGCTAACTCAATATTTTAGCCAGAAAAATAATGGCTAAGCCTCGAGATTTTGTTAATTTGTTCCTTATATGAGCAAAATCTTTAGGTTTGCGTAATATTTTCCTGGATAGAATATAGTCATCTCAAACCGAGCCGTTTAACAACACTAGTAATTACATAATACATTCGCATGACTTTCTCTTTTTTTTTTTAAAAAATAAGCAATATTAAATTTGCTTCCCTCATAAAAATAGTGTAATTCTTCTTAACGTTGTAAAAATTAATTTTTTAACGAAGTTAGATTAGTTATTTTAAATATATTATAAGGATTATATTAAATTTAAAGAATTTTTTATCAAAAATTTCAATGGAAGCAATGCTTTCCTTGCTTCTATGGATTCGTCACTGTTTTAGATTATTTTTCAAATAAAAATTATTTATATAAATCACTCCGTTCAATTACCCTGATTTACATTTAATTTGCTCGCAAAATGGAATAAGTACAATATTACAAAATCTAAATTTGTGTGCTTAAATCTGTGCTAAAAATAATATACATAAAAATACAAAAATTTTTTAATATTGAGATTTCCAGTACTAAAATATTCACAATGACCTTCATACCTTTCCTTTTCCCATGCTTAACATTAAATCAGTCTAAAAGCTTGGACAAAAAAAAATTGAGCTATTCAAATTTTTTAGCACCCTACTAGTGAAGCTATTGATGTCAGTCACTTGAAAATGAGCTACACTCTTAGAGAATCAAGTAGCTAAAAAAACCTATGCAACCAGTATATACTTATATAAACTCAAACGTTTGGAGTAAATTAATAAGATATGAAATTTATATTCAAAAATAAATTAAACTTTAAAATTATTTATATTAAAAATGACTAAAAAATAAGAAAAATCTAAATTATAATATTTATGAATAAATTTAGCTATTAAAATTTCTATTTTAAAATATTAAAAATCTAAATTATAATATTTATATTTAAAAAAAAAATTTAGCTCTTAAATTTTCTATTCTAAAACGTCTTTTAAAAAATAAAAATCTTTTATTAGAAACTTCTTACAATGACACAAAAAATATAACATACAATGTACAATACAAATGAGAATTTAAATACACTAATCATTTGTATTAAATATAAGTGGATATTCAGTAATTCTAATTTATAATAAAATATATCTAGTCAACTTCTTCCATCCTATTTTTATCTTCAGATTCATCAAGTTGAGGGAGCTCATCAATTTTAGCATCTACATGGTCTCCAGAGATGTTAGCTTCATCTTCATCAATACCCAAACCTAGTTTGATCATTCTGTATATGCAACAGGCATGACCTGTGGGATCTTCAAGGGTAAAACCACATGAAAGGAGTGAGGTTTCATACAATAGATTAATCAAATCCCTAGCTGATCTATCATTTTTGTCAGTCTCAATCTTCTGGCATAAAGTTTTCATGATTGAATGATTGGGGTTTATTTCCAAGTGTTTTTTGGCGGCCATGTAACCAAGGGTTGAATTGTCTCTTAAAGCTTGAGCCTTCATAATTCTCTCCATGTTGGCAGTCCACCCATATTGACTAGTAACAATACAGCATGGTGAATTCACAAGTCGATTGGAAACAGTAACCTTAAAAATAAAAAAAATAATTTATTAACATTCAATTTCAATATAATTTACCTTTTCAATTTTGCGATCTAAAATATCTTTCATGGCTTTACATAGAGGTTCAAATTTAATCTTTTGCTCATCAAAAATCTTCTTTTCCTCTTCATTGTCAGGCAATTCAAGGCCTTCTTTGGTAACAGATACTAGTGGCTTCCCATCATAATCCTTTAATTGCTGAACACAGTACTCATCAATGGGCTCTGTCATGTATATAACTTCAAAGCCTCTTTTGATCACATTTTCAACAAGAGCTGAATTTTGAACTTGTTCTTTACTCTCACCAGTAATATAGAAAATATTTTTTTGATTTTCTTTCATTCGACTAACATACTCCTTGAGGGAAACCATTTCATCAGGAAAGGCAGAAGTGTTATAACGCAAAAACTCAGACAACTTTTTACGATTTTGGCTGTCTTCATGGATACCCAATTTTAAGTTCTTGGAGAATTGTTCATAAAACTTTTTGTATTGCTCTTTATCTTCACATAATTCTTCAAACATTTCAAGGCATTTTTTTACAATATTTTTTCTTATAACTTTCAGAATTTTATTTTGTTGCAACATTTCACGGGAAATATTAAGAGGAAGATCTTCTGAGTCAACTACACCCTTGATAAAGCATAAGTATTCTGGAATTAATTCTTCACAATTATCCATTATAAAAACACGTCTGACATATAATTTAATATTGTTTTTTTTCTTCCTTGTCTCAAACATATCGAATGGGCATCGTTTTGGTAAAAATAAAAGAGCTTTAAATTCAAGTTGGCCTTCCACAGAAAAATGTTTAACAGCTAGATGATCTTCCCAATCATTAGTTAAGCTTTTGTAAAAATCACCATATTCTTCTTGTGTTATATCATCAGGATTTCTTGTCCAAATAGGTTTTGTTTTGTTTAATTCCTCATCTTCAACATATTTCTCCTTTATTTTCTTTTTTTTCTTTTCTTTGACTTTTTCATCATCTTCTTCATTGCCAACATCTTCAACTTTAGGTGTTTCATTATCTATTATATCTTCTTTATCATCTTTTTTATCTTCTTTCATTTCTTCTTCATCATCACTTATTTCTCGGTCTCTTTCTTTTTGTACTACAAGTTTGATTGGGTAACCAATAAACTGACTGTGTTTTTTGACAACTTCTTTGATTTTTCTTTCTTCCAAATAATCAAGCTGGTCTTCTTTTAGATATAAAATCACTCTAGTTCCTCTAGGTAATAAATCAGTGTTTTCTTCTTTTATGGTGAATGAGCCACCAGCAGATGATTCCCAGGTATATTGCTCATCATCATTGTGTTTTGAAATGACAATAACTTTATCTGCAACCAAATAACTTGAATAAAATCCAACACCAAATTGCCCAATCATAGATATATCAGCACCAGCCTACAAAAAAAATTATTTATGTAATGAATTATGTAAAATACTTGTAAAGCTTCCATAAATGCTTTGGTTCCAGATTTTGCAATAGTACCCAAATTATTAATAAGATCAGCTTTGGTCATACCTATACCTGTATCTATAATTGTTAAGGTTTTATCCTCTTTGTTAGGAATAATTTTGATGTAAAGTTCTTTTTCAGCATTTAATTTTGTTGGATCAGTCAAACTTTCATAGCGTATTTTATCTAAAGCCTATATTTTAAATAATTATTTAATCATATAAAATTCATTTCTTACATCAGAAGCATTGGATATCAATTCTCTCAAAAAAATTTCTTTATTGGAGTAAAACGTGTTAATAATCAAGCTCATAAGCTGAGCTATCTCCGCTTGAAAAGCATAAGTCTCAACTTCCTTCATATTTTGATCATTGGTGTTATTATCTTGAGTCATTTGTAATATATAATTGTATATAAAAAATAATAAGGAAATGAAAGAATTTGGTGAAAATTAATTTATATAATATTTTTATAAAATCTTCTGGAAAATGCTAGTATTATTTTTGGTTTTTAATAAAGTGCGATGCGATTTAAAATTAAACATTTTTTGCTATTAATCAACTTTATATTTTTATTAAAAAAATATATTATAATTAAATATTAAATCAGTGAAAAGTGTTTAAAATGAATCCCTTAAAAATTATTTATAAGTCAAAAACAGAATTTTTATATACTCAAAAAATAGAATATTTCTAGTCAAAAAATAGAATTTTAATCTTTTTCATAATTTTTCTACATAAAGATAGAAAAGAAAAAGTTTTATTTTTAAATATTTTTATTTTCTTTATTTTATTTCTATTTTATGTTTTATTATGATCTAAAATAAATATTTTGATTCCTCTAATTTTATTAATTTTTATAGATAATAAAAGGTTTAAAAAAATTCAATACTATGTATAAATAGTAAAACAAAATCAACTTTATATTTTTATTAAAAAAATATATTATTATTAAATCAGTGAAAAGTGTTTAATATGAATCCCTTTTCTTTTTATTAATGTTATGAAAATTAAAATTATTATATAGTCATTAATAGAATTTTTATATACTCAAAAATAGAATATTTATAGTCAAAAATAGAATTTTAAACTTTTTCATAATTTTTTAAAGCTTCATTGAAGATAGAAAAGTAAGAAGTTTATTTTAAAATATTTTTATTTTCCTTATTTTTATTCTATTTTAATTTTATTATCAACTAATATAAATATTTTGATTTCTCTTATTTTATCAATATTTATAGATAATATTAGGTTTAAAAAAATTCAAAATACTATTCATAATAAATAGTAAAACAAATGCAGATAATAGCAGTAATTTGGAGGGGATAATATATTAACAATCGACAATTATGACTGGTTATACACATTTTTGCCCTTTTTCATATACACCAACTCTGCTGTGTAGTAGAATTCTCGATCATTGAAGTAATCTAAAATAAATATTATTGACCCATTAATATTTTAAACATCATATTTTTTTTGAAAAAATTTATAACTTTTATAGGACTCGAGTTCTGAACTTCAATCGCGAACTCAATATAGTAACTTCAAAAGAGTCGCGAATCTACTACTAGTCTGCAAAACACGAAATTTACAATATTATATTTTATAAAAATTATATTATATTCAACCTTTATAGTAGAGAAATTTATTCGAATCGGTTATTAGAGAATTATAAGGATAAATTTGGTGAAATTCGCAGTAAGTCGGGGTTATTTATAGAATATAAGAGGAGATTGAAGGTGATATGTTAATAGACGCCTGAAATAAATTAATAAAGTAATAGTAAATGATTATATATATATAATATTATTATTATGTTTTAATTATTTTATTTGAATATTCAGATTGTAGTATATAATAACTATGGGATTGCAAATATTAAGACGGAAATAAACTAATAAGAAAGCATAGTATAATAAAAGTAAAGAACAGAGTTGTTAAAGGATCGAGATTAAAAAATCGACGATGCTGGGTTCAATCCTAATTTTGACAATTTACCCAGATTTTTTTTCTTTTAAATTAACGATCGTTATCGAGATCATTTCGTTAAATATTCGATCTTATTAAAAATTTAATTTAAAAACTATATAAATAAAATAAAATTTTTTTTAATAAAATCAATAAAATATCATTTTTATAAAAAAATCTATCTCCGTCATAATTTAGCATCCTCGGCCATATTTTAATTATTCTCATAAATTATGAGAATAATTTAAAATTTTATCGGCAACATTTACAAATTTAATTTACTACCTACTTTTATTTGAATTAAAAATATAATAAATTACTTTTAGATATTTACTTATGTCTATTATAGAAAAATACACTTACAGTTATTGAAGTGACAGCCAAATGAGAACATTTTACCATTTGCTCAGCTCCGCATAATAATGTTAACTATCATTTCCTAATATAGAGATTTCCTTCACTATGTCAGGACAGCAGCATACTCGCAGAAATAATTAATCTAAAATTTTAGCTTAATTGGCCTTATATCAATCTGCCACAAAATCTTTAATCACTGATTTGGATAGCCTGCAGGATCAATCACATGCAGATGCTTATTCAAATGATTGTATATATAAAAACTGAAACGTTTTTTAAAAAAAAATTTTCGCAAAATGCGCCTTCCCCCCTAAAATTTTTTTTTATCAAATAATGATTCAATTACTATTTTTGAATATATTAATTAAAAAAATATAAATACCGATCAAGCTCTAATGTGGAGTGGAGTGCATGTTTTGTAACGCTAAATATGTTTGATTGATATTTAATTTTTTTTTAATTATTTAAAAATTTTAATTAATTAAATATATTAATATTATTATAATATTCTATTACAATAAATTTACACTATATTTCATTCATTATTATATTTGTTAATTTTGCATAGAGCATAAACTCTCTTCAGAAATTTATAAAGCTAGATTTTGATCCTCTTTTTTGAAAAGATCGTGATAGGTATTCCATCCTTTTAAAAGGATCGAATAATAAGCCTGGTATAAATTTTAAAAAACTTTAAATTCAACACATAAAAGGATTAAAGAATTGAAGAATCTAAAAATAAATTTTTAGTAAATAATAAAATTTAAATAGTTTTGTGCATCATTCATTATATATATTGAATTATTATGTTTTACAAATATCATTCATAACATAAAATATGAATTGTATTGATATATATCTATTTACTGTGATATCCTTTTCATTTCCAACCATTTATTCGTATAATAAATGGACTCAAACTGATAAAACCCTGTTCATAACTATGAAATAGCCACTCTCTAATAATAATAAGGTAAGTCATTTGTTAAAATATTACTCACTAATTTAAAAAAAGAATATTAAGAAGAACGTCATAGTGATGATTATATTTGAAGTTTTCGTGAATTGACGAAAAAAAGATGAATGTAGTAAATTGAAAATTATAATTGCATGATAATTTATAATATACTAGTAGAAAGCCCGTCAAAAATGACGGGGAATGAGATTTTTATTCATTTTTTTACGATAGATATCATGCCAGATCCCTCACAATATTAGGAAGCATATAATTATAAAAGTTTATCCAGCCCAGCTCAACCCTTAATAATTTGTTAAAGATATTCCCATGTCAGGTGCAAGCTAATATAAATTTTGAGGTTCCAAGCCCAGTCGTATCCAATATAATTATGAAAATATTTTCCCACCTAGGAGATAGTTAAATTTTTAATTGATTTATCATCACATTAAGGTGAATTATATGATTTACCGTAGTGTTGTTAAACGGCTAAGCTGAGTCGACTTAGCTACGACTCGAGCCTAGTTTCTAGTCGATAAAACAGCTTAGTCGGCTCACTTAGTCGGCTCGCTTAGTTGGCTCACTTAGTCGGCTCGCTTAGTCGGCTCGCTTAGTCGGCTCGCTTAGTCGGCTCTCTTAGTCGGCTCTCTTAGTCGGCTCACTTAGTCGACTCAGAGGTTAGCTTGAGTTTAATTTAAATTTAGAGCCAAAATTTATTTTTATGTTATTGAGATATTTTAAATAATAATGTAGAATTTTATTTAATTATTTTTAGTGAAATAATTTATTTTATTTATATTTAATGTTAATATTTTATTATTATCAAACAAAAAATTTTTTTTAATTTTATTTCAAATATGTTTTGATCGATCTTATAATAAAAATGGATTTATTTATTTGATTTTTTTTAAATAAAAAAAATTCATATTTTCGAGCTAAAAATTTTAAGCAAAAAATAATTTTTGAAATACAAAAATATTTTTGAAACATATTTTGTTGATTTTTTTATAAATTTTTAAATCTTTTTTAAGAAATACTTTTTTTAATTTTATCATAAATAAATAATCTTTTAGGTCAAATCTTCTATTGTTTTTTTATATTATTTTTATAAATATATCTATATTTTAAGTTTATTTTATTAATAAGAGGTGGTCTTTCTAAATAATTTTTTTATAAATATATCTATATTTTAAGAATATATAAAAGAGCTGGTTTTTCTTTTTCTAAATAATTTTTTTTATAAATATATCTATATTTTAAGTATATTAAAAGAGGTGGTTTTTCTAAATTATTTTTTTATTAATATTTATGTCAAACTTGTTTTTAATGCGACAATTGTCATATGCGTTATTTTTTAAGATTTTTGAAATTTTTGGACACAAAAGGGTTATATTATAATTTATATTGTAAAGATATTATATTATAAATTCAATGAAGATGTTCCCTGGAAAAATGATAATTATCATAATAGGTAGGTATATTTTTGAAGATATAAGATTTTTTTGTGACGCTAATGGGCAAAAATATGTTTCTTTAACAGGTAAAATTTAATGTAGATGTACCCTAGATAAATGACAATTGTCATAATAGTTATTTTTAAAGTTTTTTAAATTTTTTTGACTTAAATAGGCTAAAATAAGTACTGCTAACATGTCTAAATAAAACTTCAGTGAAGATGTACCCTAGAAAAGTAACAATTGTCATAATCGTTGTTTTTAAAGTTTTTCGAATTTTTTTGACGTAAATGAGCTAAAATAAGCATTGCTAACATGTTTAAATAAAATTTTAGTGAAGATGTACGACAAAGACCTGCAAGCCCGGCCCTAAGCCCGGCCCGGCCGTATTTTAAATTTTTTAAATATACCCTGGTCGGGCCGGGCCGGGCCTAAAAAATTTTTTTTTAAACATATCCAGGCCGGGCCGGGCATAATTTTTTAAATATATCCGGGCCGGGCCGGGCCGGGCCTAAGATTTTTAAACCCGGGCCAGGCTAGGCCTTAATATTTTTTATAAAAAATTTTACATTATGAGTTATTGGTTATAAGATTATATTATATTATAGTTATGATTAATATAATATTGGGTGATGGTTAACACTACCTAACACTCACAGATCGATCTAATTATTAATTTCCTGAAAGATACCGGAAAACTCCATTTTAAATTACTTAATATATTTTAATATCTAAAATTGCAGTGCTCCACTAGTCATTTTC